CCATCCCGGCATTCCTGTAGTCCTATCACTAAATGCTCTTAGAACCCAAGAATGCTCTAACAACAAAAACAGGTGTTCTTAGAACATAAGTCTGACGTGTTGAAACAATACTTAAAGCAATATGGTCCCAACCAGAAATGTCCTGAGAACACTTCGTGGAAACCACAAACGGTTCCTAGAACACTGTTTGGTAGGCCTATAAGTCGAGCCAGGACGCTTCGCCAGTGCTCGAAATACAGGACGCGCTCGCCAAAAAGCGTCGGCAGGCCCGAGTTCTGGGCTCACTCGAGCCTGACGCCTCCCCGGAAGCGGGTCGAGACACGAAGCGGGCATAGACAGGGAAGAACGGCAGAAGCATTACACTCTCCGCGCGGGGCGCTGCCAGTGTATGGTCATGCCGCTGTGCTTCTCCGAAGGAAGGCGAGTCGCAGAACGCAAGGGAAAAAAACACAGCGAGTCCTGGAGTAGGGAGGCGCCTGGAACAGATCGAGATCTGGGAATGCAGAAAGACTGTGTTGATTCGCGGGTCGAGAGCGCACCTCTTCCGGTCGAAGCGAAGCGGGCCGCGCGAAGCTCGAATTAACCAGAGATGGGCGAGGAAAAGGGGGGCGCAGCCTCGGAACGAGGCCTGAGAGGAGGCAGAGCCTCGGAATCGGGCGGTGCCGCAGCCGACGAACTTGCAAAGGAGGCGCATTGGAATCCAGAAAGGCCTCTACTTTCAAGGACCCACGTGTGCCCCCCGAGATCCTTCAGGAGAGAGAAAAAACACACCCAGACACAATGAATCGTCGATTCCCGAGAAAAGATGGGAAACTATGGGAACTGGGGGGGGGAAGACAAAAACCTAGAAAATATGGGGAAATCTGTTTTTTTGTTTTTCTTATTTGTGTGTATTTATTTGTGTCCCAGGGCCCCGTCAATCCTGGCGGCTCGACTTTTTTTTCGAGCGGGGCGCTTGTCGGTCTGTGAGGGCCCCGGGGCTCGAGGCTGGGCAGCAAAAACGCCCCGCTCGAAAAAAAAGTCGAGCCGCCAGGATTGACGGGGCCCTGGGACACACAAATAAATACACACAAATAAGAAAAAATAATCCCCATATTTTCTATGTTTTTGTTTTTCCCCCCACTTCCCATAGTTTCCCATCTTTTCTTTGGAATCGACGATTAATTGTGTCTGTGTGTGTTTTTTTCCCTCCTGAGAAGATGGGGCTGCGGTCGTGCTCTCTCACGATGGTTCCATTTGTTCGAGACGTCGCATCCTAGTGGTGATCCAAAGGGGGGGGGGGGGAAGAAAGGGGCCCGAAACGGGCCCTTTCGACCCCTGTCCGTGCCCCCCATGTACGCTCATGCTCCTGCTCTGGGCGAGCATGTGATCTCGGGCCCTGCAAGACCGAAGCCGTCGACATGCTAAGCAGCGCAGGGGCGTACACGCTCAGTGGGGTCGGGCGAAACCACCCTCCGATATACACGCCAAGTACCAGACACGCAGGATGCACGCTACTCCAGTTTTCGTAATATAGGGAGGGGGGTCTCATTTCGGGGGGGGGTCTCTTCCAGGCTGTCTTGCTGTCTTGGAGGGCCTGGGGGGTCTGGGGACGATGTCTTGGAGGGTTCTCCCACGGGGGAGGTCTGAGAGGGTTCTCCCACGGGGGAGGTCTGAAATGGCCTGTCTTGGAGGGTCCAGACCCCCTCCCTTTTATCACGAAATCTGGAGTCTGCAAAGATAGGTGGGCCGGGGCTTGCGAGCGGAAGCGTCCGTCTCGAGCGTCTCGAGGCGTTGGAGGCCCCCTGAAGCTGCAGAGAGCGTGCAGCTGATGGGCCTGTTTCCCACCACCATCAATTGGAGGGGAGGAGGAGGAGCAGGAGGAGGAGGAGGAGGAGGACGACGAAAGGGAGGAGGAGGAGGAGGAGGAGGAGGAGCCCCTCCCTTTTACTACGAAATCTGGAGTGAGTGCGGAGCACACCACAAAACATATGATCCTGACCGTATACGTCGCCCCCAGTTGCCACCCGCCCGAGACGTGCTGCCCTCCGCGCGCGCCGGCGCCGCGGCGGCGCCGCGGCGCGCGCGCGCGCTCGGCGCGCGCGCGCGGGTAAAAAACTATAGCAAGGAGGAACAAGGAGCGGCACAAACATACACTACAGTCGGGGCGTTGGCCTCAGGAGCGACGAATAGGGAACGGGGCCCCTTTCTCCCACAAGTGAAACTCCGATGTTCCGTGGAGCACCTGGGGAAAGCCCAGGGAGCGCTGTCAAAACAACTGTAAGGAACACGGAGCCCCTCCCCAACGAAAAGGGTTCCTTCTTCAGGGCCCCGACGGTATTGGAGCTCCGCGCGGAGCTCCCGGATCGGCGCGGCGCCGGCGGCGCTGCAAAGGAGGGCCCCGCGCCGATCCGAGGAATCTGCGGGCAATGTCTTTATCTACATACATCCAGTGCGTCTTGGAGTTTCGGACACTCTTCCCAAGAAAAAGGAGGCGCACTGGATATGGATTCTACTCTGCCTCCAAAAGACTAAATTTTCATCCACTTCCAGTGCGCATCGGCCTTGCGGCGCCCCTTCCAAGAAAGTCCAAGACGCACTGGATATGGATATATAGATACTGCCCGCAAAATCCGCGCGGAGCGCCGAGAGTTTATGCGTGTGCGGCCTGTGGTTCCTCGGCCTAATGCGCTCGGCGGGGGGTGCCACCGGTCTGCCCGGCGCCTGGCGGACGACCCACCAGGCCACCCCAAGGCCAACCCGAAGACCCGAGTGTCGGGTTGTGGGGGGGGGGGGGCGTGAAGGGTTCCACGCGTGCTGTTTTTCTATGCTTCCCCCGAATTTCGGGTTGGGGGGGGTAAGGGTTCCACAGGTGTTTGTTCGATGTTTCCCGACCCCCCCGCCACTAGAAATCGGGGGTAGATCTGAGCCTTCGGGTTGGGTTGGGGTGGTTTGGTGGCTGGTGACTGGCGGCACCGTAGGCCCTAGGCGGTGTGACCGCGCCTCGCCGAGTCCAAGTCTGGAAGAGCGACGGTCGGCGGCCAGCCCGGGGGGGGGGGAGCGAGAAAAGGGCGGGCCTTCTCGGAAGGCTCGGGAGTCCCACGGACTTCTAAGAAGCACTCCAAGCCTTGGGTCGGGCATGTCCTCGTACAGGCGGATTTTGGGAAGAACAATGACAAATAGTCACAACAACCAAAAAAAGTTCAAAGATCATTTAAAAGCGTCGGAAATCGTCCCCTAAACTATTTGTTTAACTAGATTTGAATATTCCTCCCGTAGAAGGGGCATGCCCGACTCAATCCAAGCCTTCCCCGAAGACACATCATACCTCTCAGAAGGCCCGATGCCTTCTGAGAAGCCCCGCCGCCTTCTGAGAAGGCCTTCTACTCGCTTCCCCCCCCCGCTCGCCGCCGAGAAGAGCGGCACAAGCACACTTCGGGCAGGGAGGCTCGCGCGAATGTCTCTGATCTGCGCTGGGCCCCCCCTCCCCGGCGTGCGGAGCTCCCCAGGGGCGGCGCCGCGGGCGCCGCCAGAGGGGCCCGGGGGCGACCCAGGAGGTCTGCGCGGACCTCCGAGGAAGTCTGCTGGTGCCGCCGCCTGTGTTTAAAGACCATCGAGAACGGACGGGTCGCGCCACGTCGAGAGATGTTCAAATGCCGGCCGGCGCGTCGCGCCGAGTGTTGGCGGCGCGCGCAAGGGGGTGGAGGGAGAGGGGGGGAAGGCTTCTTAGAGGCAGGCTGCTGCTTGGAAGGCGCGGGCCCTACGTTGACAGGCAGGGCCCACCACGCCTTCTGAGAAGCAGGGGTGCTTCTAAGACGCTTTCCCCCTCCCCCTAGCTGCACGGATTCCCCTGGGGCCGTAGGCGACCCGAGGAGGAGGAGGAGGAGGAGGAGGAGGAGGAGGAGGAGGAGGAGGGAGGAGGAGGAGGAGGAGGAGGAGGAGGAGGAGGAGGAGGAGGAGGAGGAGGAGGAGGAGGAGGAGGGAGGAGGAGGGAGGAGGAGGAGGAGGGAGGAGGAGGGGGGGAGGAGGAGGAGGAGATGGAGGAAATGGGAGGAGGAGGAGGAGGAGGAGGAGGAGATGGAGGAAATGGAAGGAGGAGAAGAGGAGGAGGAGGAGGAGGAGGACGGGTCGCCAAAGCCCTCCGGAGAAACCCCCCTCCACCCCCATGCCCCCTTCTGCGCGCGGCCGAGAAAGAGCCGAGCCGCCGAGGCGAGGTCGGGCGCCGCACCGTGCGCGCCCGCTGCGCCGGAGAGGGAGCCGCACGTGTGCGCGCCTACTGCGCCGCCCTGCCCCCGCCTCAGTGCACGGTTTCCCCCAGGGCCGTAGGCGACCCGAGGAGGAGGAGGAGGAGGGGGAGGAGGAGGAGGAGGAGGAGGAGGAGGAGGGGAGGAGGAGGGAGGAGGAGGGAGGCGGAGGAGGAGGAGGAGGGAAGGAGGAGGAGGAGGAGGGAGGAGGAGGGAGGAGAGGAGGAGGGGAGGAGGAGGAGGAGGAGGAGGAGGAGGAGGAGGAGGAGGAGGAGGAGGGAGGAGGAGGGAGGCGGAGGAGGCGGAGGAAGGAGGAGGAGGAGGAGGAGGGAGGAAGAGGTGGAGGAGGAGGAGGAGGGGGAGGAGGAGGAGGAGGAGGAGGGAGGAGGGAGGAGGAGGGAGGGAGGAGGAGGGAGGAGGAGGAGAGGAGGAGGAGGGAGGAAGGAGGGAGAGGGGAGGAGGAGGGGAGGAGGAGGAGGAGGAGGAGGAGGAGGAGGGGAGGAGGAGGAGGAGGAGGAGAGGAGGGGAGGAGGGAGGAGAGGAGGAGGAGGAGGAGGAGGAGGAGGAGGAGGGAGGAAGAGGGAGGAGGATGAGGAGGAGGAGGAGGAGGAGGAAGGAGCGGTGCTGCAGCCTCCCCTGAGCAGGAGGAGGAGGTTAAGGAGGAGGAGGAGGAGGTGGAGGAGGAGGGAGGAGGTGGAGGAGGAGGAGGAGGAGGAGGAGGAGGAGGAGGAGGAGGAGGACGTGTCGCCTAAGCCCTTCGGAGAAGCCCTCCACGCC